CGAGTTGCGTGCTCAAGCCAGCCTTGCGGATGGCCCAAGCCTCGAGTCCCGACCACCATGGGTAATCGTCGGGGAGAGAGTCGTCGCCCGAATAGCCCTCGGGAAAGGGAAGCGTCTCCTTAACCGCCTCGTGGTCGAGCTTCCCCTCGAACTCGGATCCCGCAACCACCGCCTCCCACGCAGCGAAGGTATGCTCGAAATATTGGAGGGTGGCGGGGCAAAGCTTGTCGAGAAAAGCGGGAGAGTTGCAGAAGGCCTTGACGAGCTCCTGGCGGTAAGTCTCGAGGAAAACGGCGCCGATCGGGGACTTCAAAAACGTCCTGCGCCCCTCCTCGACGCCGCTCTCTCTCGACCATAGCCTCATCACGAGCTTTGTCGAGGTCGACCTTGAGCTTGTCGTTCAGATGCCGGAAAACGGCCTTGTCGGCCTTCAGTTTGTCGACAAGGGCCTTCGAGGCCTCCAAATCCTCCTTCAGCGCCTCGATCTCCTGGCGCTGAGCCTCACACTTGTCCTCGAGGGACTTGGTGGAGACGAAGGGAGCCTTGCTCGTCTCCTCGAAACAAGGGAGCGCCGCTGCCAGGAACTGCGAAAGAATACGAAAAACAGATGAGAAAAGATGAATCAAGTTCAAAAGAAAAATGCAAAAACCAAGTCGATTAAAGGGTAGGAAAATTACCCGGGAGAGACACTGAACAGCGTAGTTTGAACGCTCGTACAAGGTCCCGTCGACGCGCTCCTTGTCGTCTTCAGGAATGAGGGTGATTCCAGAGCCGAGATGGCATCTTGAACGTCACGTCCTTGACGGTAATAGGGGAGGGGCTCTTCTTCTCGACCGCCTTTCCTTTCCCCTTGTCGACTTTGCGACGCTTGAGATCGTCGGGGATGAGGACGGCGGCCCGATCGTCTTGGGCCCTCTTGCGAGAAGAGGAGCCCGACGATTTATGTTTGGATGCACCAGGGTTCTCGACCCTGGATTTTTGAGCAGTTGTCGCCTCGACAACCGCAGCACAAAGTCATCTTCCATCCAGTAAAGTCAGTCCGCGCTTTCCCTCTTTTCTTTGGGGGCATGCATCGTATAGTAAGATGAAAAAAGAACTTCTTCTGGGATTGAACTAAAAAAATGCGAAAACACATTACGTTTCAACTGTTGAAAGTTGCTGTTAGTAGGTTCGAATGTGGAAAGCGCCGGGCCTCGACCCAGACCCGCCTGAGGGTCGAGGGGGGGAGCAGGACCACCAGCCGGCGGGCCGGACGACTGGCCCTTCTTGAGCTCGAAGCGTTTGAGCGCTTTAACTGAAATAGTAGAAGAAAAGTTAGCAGGGAGAAGAACACTTAGCAGTCATGACGAAAATAATCAGAACTCATAAACAGTTGCACAAAAAAAAAGAGAACAATAACGGCTTACGAGGGTCATCGAGACGAGGAAGGTCTTCATAAAAGACGATTCGAGCATGATTAACTAATTCACGGTCCTTTATTAGCTGACGAGCACTGTATGTGTGCTTATTAAGTTCCGCCAGCAGAGAGGCAAACTCGTCAGAACGAGGCCGCTTATTATGTTTGACTTTTGAGGTTATCCATTTATTCTCGTAAGGATACATACCGGCGGCAGGACGAATGAAGACGTACTTTGACTTCCACTCAGTCACGTTCGACGAAAGGTCGTCAAGGAAAGTGACGCCGGCACGACGACCCAGACAATGGGCGCCGTTGGAAAGACGATAACCATAGCAGTAAAAGAAAAAATCGGGAGAGAAGAACTTGAGCACTATACGGGAGACGACAATAAAAGCTATCATGATACGAATGGCATTGGGAGAAAATTGATTTATGGGTATATTGTACAGATTACTTATTAAGATCAACTCGTCTTGAATGGGAAAGCGGAGGCCGAAGACGACTTGATCTACAAAAAAGGTATGGCAGCCAGGAGGGGGATGAGCAAAATCTTCATTAGGGCCGGGGGCGACCAACTCCCAGTCAGAAGGGAGCCCGCTAAATTTCCTGAAGCCCTCGACCTCGACTGCAGAGGCATAACAAAAAGGATTTAAGACCGCTAACCGAGCTAAAGGACAAGCTATTGTTACAGTGTTTTGAGAATCAAGAAGAGGAGCAATTATTGGTACAGATACAGGGTTTGTTCTATAAACAGGGATGTCCAATAACCTAAGAGGAATACCTCGAGGGATAAGATCGAGACGAGGGGAATTCCCTCGAGAAGGGCTCTTCACGATGTCGACTAAGCCGCCCTCTACAAGCGCTTGATCATACTGTGCCCAGTCGACGGAGGAAGCAAAAACGTGAGAAAAGGAAGGATTAGAAGGCAGTGAAATCATCTTATAGCCGGTAACCTCGAAGGAGTCGGAACTGGAACCCTCGTTGACATGGTGAATATAATCGTTGATTTGCTGACCAAGGGAGCCAGAGAGAGAAGACGAGTCGGAAGCTAAGGAAAGAAAAAGAAAAGGGGGGAGAAGGTCGAAGTTAGTAAAGTCATGAGTTAAGGCCTACGAGAACGAACAATGTCGACTCAACAAAGAAGGAGCAGCGGCTATTGATAGCCTGGCTTGCTTAAAGTTATTAAGTCAATCCGAGCCGACTCGACAGAGAGAAACTAAAGAAAGAAGACCATCAAGTCGACAAGAGCCGACTTAAGGACGAGAAAATCGATTGCACACCGGCAGCTGACGACTAGTAAAAACAATAAACCTTAATAGAGTACGCGCGTAAAGAGATCTAAACGCGAAACTCATGGGAAATTCATGAAGAATATAAAGAACATACATGAACTCCGAAAATTCTGGGAATCCAAGAAAAATCAGAAAAGAAAAAAAATCAACAGAAGATTGAAAGTTAAAAGGAGATGGAGAACTTACACATGGTGGCGTGATTGCTTTGAACTGCGAGTAAGCCTGAAGTTGCCGGAGAAGGAAACGCCGTAGAGCAGAGAGCACAAGAAGCACCGGAGAGTTAGAACCAGTTCGAAATTCGGAGAAGTTGAAAGCATAATGAAAAAAAACTATCTGAGGCAAACACGCGACATATTTATATGCAGAGACAGCGGAAGCAGGCCGTTAGATCAGTATGGAACCAACGATCCAGATGAAGTGCGGAATACGAGGAGTCGGCGATGAAGATGACGCGCGTCACTTTAGGGTTTTCAAGATTTGAAATTTGAAATAGGCCTGACAGAATGTCAGACTTATCCGAAAAGGCAATCATGAGATTAGAGTGCGCTCTAATTAATTGACGAGACGAGTTATCATCTAAGGCAAAGACGAGCGAATTCCACAGGAAGGCGACACAACTACATATCACCAAATTTACTCTTAAGCAATCGATTGCTTAGAGTAATTTTTGGGGGGGACTAGATGATATAGCCACATAAGGATAACCCGGTCTAGAGGTCTCTTACTCGACCGGCGAACCACTTGAGCGACTCGCATGTCGATACGCTCAAATCGACTTCCCTAAAGTCGATTCTATCATGAGCAATCAAGAAGTGGCAGGAATTGGTCTAGTCGATTCTTGCAAGTCGACCTTTGTCTATCGACTTCCCCTAGTCGACGTAAAGGGGAGAAAAACATCAGGAGCATAGCTCCCATTCATCAGATGTTCTAGGTCGACTTCTACTAGTCGACTCCACTATGACGACTCTCTGAAGACGACTTCACCACAGAGGGTCAAACCAAGCGCAGCCTCCGAAGCCGCACGTATTAATAAGTCGACCCCTTAACTCTCGAGGTCGACTCTGCACATCTCGAGGATCAAAACAAGTGAAGACGATTCACTACACTTGCAACATATCCGAAGCTCTACCCACTACAAAGAGGATAAGGAGGAATCTTGTGATGACTCAGCAACAAGGGGAGACGAATCGACCGGGGCATTTTGGACCTTCTAGGTCCACCGACTTGGGCATTTTGGGCACTCCAAGTAAGTATTCACTCCTATATAAAGGAGGCGAGGTAACCTAAACCCTAACTCTCATTCATTCCCACTATCCCCCATAGCTGCTGCGCAGCCTGTCTTCATTACTCACATACTGACTTGAGCGTCGGAGGCTCTACGCCGGAAACACCTCCGGCGTTGAGTTTTTGCAGGAATCTCGCGGTCTAACAGCGAATTGGAGGCGGTTCAAGCAGATCTGAGCTCATAACCACCGGTTTACTTCAGATTCGGAAGTAGACCCATCAATTAACAAAATCTATCAAATTTACCTACAACAATAGCAATTCTCACAAACCAGAAAACTGGTATTATTCTTAGCAACAACATCCCACAACATGTATTACATTCATAATTTAGTCCACAAACGACATGAATACGCAGATAGATTCCCAATTCTCAGAAAACATATTGTACATTTGCCATAACTTAGTTTATACAACAATTAATATAATACAAGTTCTTGTTTCTCTAATCACTCTAGGATCAATTTTCTCTAGTCTTCAGCAATTGGTGAAATCAGTTAGATGAGTATATAATTAAAATAACATCTCAAATAACCGTATGTTTTACAACGAGAACCAACTTTCTTAGTTTCTTCAAGAGATTTCTGAATATAATGGTAAATGTTGAAACTCAAAACTATACATTCATGCTCAAATTGAAAAGATTGATAATTCAAAGTCAAGACATGAATCGACATGCAAATATTGAATACGTAGAAAATTACAAAATAATAGAAATGAAAAAAAAATAGTTGCCCTAAGTATCCTATCAAGGTTGCTGATAGGTGGGTATTGGCACCCCTGATCCTGCAGTGAGTTCTTTATAAGCATTTTGCAATTGTCTGGTCACGGGACCCACTTTACCATCACCAATTATGCAACCATCAATTTTTTACAACCTGCGCAATTAAAAGAATAATACCAACATCAACACTTACGCCGTCAAAATTTAAAGTGGCAGCGAAAACTACAATTTTAGGGGTTCGGCAAATTTTAAAGCAGTTGAAGCTTCTTAAAAAACATAAAAACGATGTAATACAAAATACTTAACTGGACTGAGCTCTCCCGTGGTCCCTGTCGTGACGACCTGCAACGACCTAATGAAAAAGAGGCTTAAGAAATATCATTATCAACAAACATACAGAGAACCTTCATTTTGCTTCTCTCTATATAAAATGCATTACAGAGAACACAAAAGGATTCTATGTCTGCTGTGTGGAACTCTGACAGACTAATACACCGCTCGGCCAAAAGAAAATTTTCCTTGACCACAAGTCCCATCACCTGCAAACATAAGCATAAGAATTTTTAATGTAAATACTTGAACTTTACAATGAATAGTGTGCATTATTGCAAGAGATAAACATTTACAGAGGGCACACGCCACACATCAAATTTGGATGATAAAAAACTAACATATCCTTAGTAAGTCTGATTATAATTCACCTCGGATATGAGAGCAAGTGATAACCAGAATATGTACATGTAAAACAATAATTAGAAGTATTTCAGACCATGATATGTGAATATTTTTACAGGATGTAAATTCAAATTGGTGAGTAAATATAAGACATTCTCTGATGCAACATATGTATGTATGCATATATATATATATATATATATATATAGAGAGAGAGAGAGAGAGAGAGAGAGAGAGATGGGTTCAAATGAGAATGTAGATAGTGAAAGAAATAAGAATAATTATGTGCCATTAGATCCAATAATCAATGGACATGATCAAGTCAACATTGCTCAATAATTAATGGCATTATGGTAAATTAACTTACACAATGTGATCAAAATTACATATTTGACCTCTAATTGAGGGTATTTTGGTTATTATACAACAAAATCCAATCACAAGTGGACCAACCCCAACTACCTACCCTAATTACTATTTCCACCTACTCACACACACAAACACACACTAACACTACATACCCTGCCTCCACACACACACACATACACAAATTCCAGCAGCCACCTACCCACACCACCTCAGCCGCTGGAATTCATCAGGTGCCGCCAATCCACCGCCTTCTATGGCTGAACCATGTCATATCCACCTCCTCGACGGCGATGCTCGCTTCTTCTCCCGCCGTCGAGTTGCAGTCACCGCGTCGCCGTCGCCTCGTGGCAGTTACCGCATCGCCACCTCCTCGTTTCAGCCACCACTCTCAATTGTCGACCCCGAGAGAAGGTCGCCACCTCCGGCGAACCTTCAGATCCGTTTGTTACTGCCTCTGTCTCGAGTCGCCGATATCGCGTCGCCATCGCAGTCCTTCCCGTCACCAACACAAAATCGGCGAGCTCTGAGGATTAAACGACCAACCTTATTTTTCTGTTTTTTTGGGCTGCTACCGGGGGATGTGGCTGTGTTGGGTGTTGGGCTAAGAAGGCGGCGGCGGGTGACCATAGCGTAGGTGTCTGGACGAGAGGTGGACGGATGTGGACAGTGGGTGGATTTGATTTGGAATTGTGGGGTTACGTTTTGGAAATTTGATATGTTGTATGGGCTCAATTGTAATTTTTGAAGTTTAATTTATTTCAATTGGACACTTGAGGTGAATCTGTAATATATTAAAAGTTTAGTTAATGCATGATAATAATATACAAATTGCACATTATTATATGATAATGTGCACATTAAAAATACAACCATTTTTTTTTTACGAAATCATATATTTCCCGATATTGTGCATTTCGATTGTCATAAATGTGCAATTTGTTTAACAATATTGTGCACTCGAACCTCAAGCATTTTTAATGATTTGTTACAAAACAAACTAAAGTTGAATAATAATATTTGGTTTATTTGATCCATTAGCCAATTATTTCAGTTAACCGGAAAACTGAAATAATGTATTATTTATATTATAAAAATATATTAGAGTCTTAATATTTATATTTCATATTTTATATTATTCACGATTGAAAAAGACCTCAATGTGCATATATATACAACAAAATAATGTTTTTTTTATTTAATTTTGGTCATTTCGTTTATTTAAAAAAATTAAAACCCACATCGAATCAAAGTAATCAAAATTTTAAAATAAAAGTGGATAATCGAATCAAAATATAAAATTCGAACCAACAGATTTGTTTCACTCGATATAGTGCAATATAACAATCATTGATGTGCAATCCGTCTAACACTAACGTGCTCTCGAAGTGAAAATATTTTATATAAATATATTAACACTATTTACAATTTTTCATTTTATATTTTTAGTTGTTCAAAATAAATAATATATATAGGTTAAAAAAAATATAAATGTAATATTTTTTATATAGTTTGGTCGGTTGTGTTATTATTATTATTATTATTATTATTATTATTATTATTATTATTATTATTATTATTATTATTATTATTAAAGCCAAAAAATATAAATACTAAATAAATTGTTATAAAACGCCAAAACCCGACCGAAATAACAACAACGTGAACATCTGAAAATGCATGATTTTTATGCTAATGTGCATTCTCGAAGTCATTAATGTGCATCTAGTATAACAATTTTGTACAGTCTAACATTGTATAATAATTTTATGCAAACCAACAGTAACTAATGTGCATCTTGATTAATAATATTGTGCATTCTGGAATGAGTGTTGTTTTATTTGCAAATTAAAATTAAAATCCAGAAATAATCAGTTTATTCGGTTAATTGAATTAATCTAAATAATTAAAATAATTTATTATCTATATTATAATAATATATTTAGTATTTTATTATTTTATATCTAACATTTTATATTATTTTGGATTCAAAACAAATAATATAAGTATATGTATGAAAAAAGTATATTAAAACTAATACTTTTACACAGTTTTTATAAATTGGACGTTTAGCCCATAGAGAGAATTGAATTATATTGAAATATTTAAATTTGCAATCAAGTCTTTAGGACTTATCAAATTCTCAAAGAAGGTCCCTAGCTACAAAAACCAATTATTCTCTCACAGAGTTCTTCGCCACTGCACATACGACCTTTGCCTTTCAGTTGGAAGAAAGAAAAAACAAAATCGAAGAATCTGTCTCGTGACCGCCCCAATTGCCGCCGTCGACCAGTGGTAGCCCCAATCGCCGCCGCCTGAAGTGTCGGAGGCCATCTCCCTTACCAACGCCGTCGATTTCATCCTCTTCTTCACCCAGCCTTGTCTTCACCGTCTTCTGCCACAAGATATCGGAGGGCTCGAAAGGAAAAACGCGATCTGCCATTTTCACCATCCGTCCAAGCGGCCCTGAACCCTTAAGATGCGCCGCCGTTGCAGTTGGAGGCTGCCGGAGTCCGTTGCCGCGTGCGATGATGGCGGATTTCAGCTGACGCGGCGGACGATATTGTGCGGGAGAATAGCGACTGGCCGGTGAAGGAGAGAAGACGGCGGCCGTGGCCAGCCGGCGGTGGCACCGGAGAAAGTGGTGGCAACCATGTGGAACTCGGAGGACATGGCGTGTGTGTTTCAGGCGGTGTCGATCGGTGGCTTGAAATTTTGGGAGAGTTTTACTAAATCCGGTCGACGGTGGCGGCGGCGGCGGCGGCGTTGGCCCACTGGTGGAGATAAATGGTCTCAGTTTTTATTTTTTATTTTTTTTGGGTCGCAGGATGTGTGCGTGTCTTTGAGAGAGAAAGAGAGAGAGGGGGAGAAAGAGGGTGTGTGACGTGGACAGGATGGGTTGGGTGTGCCTGGTGTGAATAATGGCGGGGCCCACGTTTTATGTTAAGTGATTGAATATAGTATAATTACTGATATATCCTTAATGAGTATGAATAATCGATATTTCTTTAGCCGTTAGATTGTTGGATCTAATGGCTATGACGTATTCTTATTTCTTTCATTGAGAACCATTCTCACCGGAGCGCGACCCTATATTTATATATATATATATATATATATATATATAATATTATGAATCTCACAGTTTCTCGTGTAATTCCAGGAAGACAATAATCAGCGTGAGGCGTCGCAACGTGGCCTTTCTTCACAAGAAAGTGCAATAGAGATAGGTGAAATTATCACGTAGTGTATTCAATCATTTAGATAGCCTTTTTTAAAGCTAGCAAAACTCTCTTAAATGGAAGACTTGCATCTTTAATTAAAAGCCTAAAAAAAGCCTCAAACACACGAGACATGTCCTTACTATTATTCTCCATTTGCTTTCTTTCATTCATTCTTTCTTTCTTTCTTTTCGTTTTTCCTTTCATTTCTTCCTTTTTTTCAATTATAAACATCACACAATTACATTCCCAGGTGTCCATTGGGGCTTTCAATCGGTATTATCAGACAACTTCATATGCTTAAGCTACTTATAACCCACTCTCACCTCTGTCGAATGAAATACATAGAAGTTCATGTACATTAAATGCTGACATAAACATTCAACCTAAATAACCTCCATTAAAGTCCATAAAAGTCAGAGCCAAGCAAGAACCGCATAAGAAATCAAATTCATCATCCAACAGTATCAATAACGCCAACAAACAAAAATAGCATTAAAATATAACACATAAACACCTCACCAACTGCACACCAAAGCAAATTACCTATGTCCAGCTCGAACTCGACCAAGTCAGTGAGGTAAAATGTCTCTGGCGGGAGCTCGAATTTGCTATGGACCTGAACTGACCAGTCGATCATGATCGATCGCACACATTTTCTAGTTTATCTCCAGTTGCAGTTCCATATAGTTATCAGTCGGGCCCTCATTTAATCGTTTTGCGCCAACAAGAAAGAAATATAAAAATCACTTAGAAAGAAAATTTTCGAAAAGGATTCTTAAGCTAAACTACAGATGGAAGATTACCTCAGTCGGTTCATCAGACAGAGTGACGGACCTTATGATAAGGGTCGATGCGTTAGTCGACCAATGAAAGCCGAGCCGAGATATGGCAATCTAGGATTTCAGAGATATGGGAAAAATGTCAAAGAATAAACCAAAATAAAATTGAATCATCATCTGAGAAAGAGCCAAAAACTTGACCTTAAAGAATAAATTTCATATCGAAGAAGAATTTGAAGGGAAATTCCATACCAGTAGAAGAGTCTCCGGTTGATGGCAGAGCTTTAAAGGACCTGAAACCTTTCATTATTCATCCTCGTACCTGATATTTTCAATTAGCAACATTAAGATCACATTGCAGACAACCTAAAATTGGAGTTTAGTAAAATAAACCTAGAGAATATAAAAGCGCACAAAGCTGAAACCAGAAACATTACCTGTTGCCATTTCCCCCAAAATCTCTTGTTCAAATAAGTGTGTTGGTCAGCCAGTGGCATAGGACTCGAAGCACTCGGTGGCAGACGACGTGCTGCTGGACGGGATGCTCTGGTAGGATATTCCCAACGCCGGCGATGAGTTCCGTCGTGCTGCAAGCCATATGCGCCGAACTTGCCAGCTAGCGACTGTGACTTCCCCGCGAAAAAAGGGTGGTCTGCCAGGTTGATTTTCCGGGACCCGACCCGATTTCTCAACATTATGCAGAAATTTCAGAGTCCATATTTTCAAATAAAGCAAAAAAAGGAAACAGGGAGAAATATTAGAAACTAAATCTAGGAGAAAGATCACAAATCGTTCAATAAAAGCCTCACAGAAAGAGGAAAATACTCGGTGCGGTTTCTGTACACTTCGGTCACCGGAGCAGATATTCTCGCTGCCCCTTGTCTTCGTGCATCCATCGTCAATCTATTTTCCTGATTAGGTATTCCCTTTGTGAATTGAAAATCAGAGTAATTGTTTGGGTCTCAATCTATATTCCCTTTGTGAATTGGAAATCAGAGTAATTGTTTGGGTGGGGTTTGTGAAGATGGGAAAGTGTTTATCTGCTCCCGTTTCAATCTCTTGACTTGCGTGTGCGAGAATCATGTTAAAAGCAAGAAAAAATATATGTCAACCTCTGACTCGCGGGATTCCAGCAAAAGGAAGAAGGTTGTCATACGTAAATGACATAATAGTCTTGAAAAGCTGTATCAAATGAGGTTATTTCAGTCAATTTGAATCAGCTCCTAAAGTAGCAATTTTACACCCTACGAAACTACGTCGTTTGCATAAGAGCGAAAAGAAAAAAAAAACTTTTAAATACCAAAATTATCCTTGAAAAGTGGCGTAGAGCGAAGGGGCTTTTAGTAGTTGCACGAAAAAATGGCCATATGTCGCCAAAAGAGATAGCCACTTGTCGACATTTGAAGCCCTATAACTTCTTCATATATATATATACTAGTTGGGTCACGCCGTGCACGCACGGCGGACTCAAATTTAGTTTGAAAATATAGTGAAAATCTGTCATCACTTGCTGTAAAATTGAAAAGAATTATGCAAACAATCATTTCTCTCGGTAATGTTTTGAACCAGGGAACTGCGAGAGGTTAGTTATATTGGTTTTGAAATTTTGGCATCGTGTTGTTATCCAGTCTTTCTTTTTTATGTTTTTGAGTTTTTTTATTTTTTTGTTTTTTTCCTTGCCATCATGTTAAGGCAAACAAAAAATGCTTGCATGTTATAAATCAAAGTGAAATTTATTTTTAAATCCCATTATCATTAGGTTTATCCACATGGTAAAATTTGGTGGCATCATTATTTCTATTCAAACCTGGGGATTGTCTGCATTCTAGTGATGATAATTGTCATATATTACAGAGCTTGATTAAAAGGTTTTCTACTCAATATTGTAAATCCTATTTGGTCCTACAATTTAATAAAGGGAAAGAAACAATTAAAGCTTATGTTATTTCCACACTAATTCTAAACCTGAAGACCTCTAAGTATTTACAACAATCTCAACCAGTTTTAGTCAGGCAACCTAAAATAATATTAGTACTTCATAAGTTTCCTTAACCTTTATTTTATGGGTGTAATGACATTTATCACACCTAGCCGTCGAATAATACTGTTGCAAACTTGCAAACTTGCAATTTATTGCAACAGGCCAGACAACATCGGGTGCACTTGTGGCAGGCATGCCTGAGCTGACAAGGCGGTGGAAAACGGCCAAGCAGTCCATGCAGTATTAAGAAAACAAATAAATTAACTCATAAATTGTCACACCCGCATATTATCATGAAAATGGACTGGAAGCTCTTTGAAAAGCTTTCAGAATTTTTTAAATACAACATCAAGCTGATACATTCACCATAATTTTTCTCCCTGAAAGATTGCTGCAGGATATGAATGTATCTTGAAAAAAAAATACACGGGCAGTCAATATTCAAGATAAAGGAGAAAAACATTCTAGTATCCGTAATAATAAAACATGAACTAAAACTTACAACAGTGACCCAAAAACGCATTCGAACACGCATAACAATTATCATTATGAAGCAGTGACAAAAAATTAGTACCTTGTTCCTAACATAACAAAATGAGCATCATGTCACGCAATACCATTACAAAATTTCATAATGCAATTAGATTGACAACATCCAACAGAAATGAATCAAAATAACACACCCAAACACTAAAACTTGAGGCCACATTGCGTCAAACACCTAGTTAGCATCTCTAACGTCGTCTATAAATTAAAAAAAAAAATTTCCTCAGCTCAAACAACAATAGTTACCTTCCGGTAAAGATCATGATGCTCCAGGGGAAAATTGGCAACCAGTTTGGGTTCGACCTTCTCCCCACGGCCTCTTGTCCACCCTCCAGATCTACGTCATTTGCAGGGCCTGAATCTGCCGCCTTACTTTCGCTCTTCAAGCCAATGGGTACTCTTCCTCATAGTCAGACGCAAATAAAAAAATCCTGTTATCTATTTGTCTAATTATTACAATATTTTATTTAATTTTTTATAATTCAAATATCTTTTTCCTATTAACAAAACAAAATGATGGTACCAACCTCACTGAGGACACACAAAACCTCAATCTTACGTTGTTGTGTACTATAACTCGGCCCACCCGCCACAGAAAAGCTCCTATTCCGACAATTGGCACGGCACGAGCAGTGCAATAAACTGAAACTAAAGAATCAGGCAATGTGAAATAACAAATCCAGACAAGAGACATTTTCATTAGTAAGACTGTCACTATAGGTTAACATTATAAAATGCTGTAAAACATCTCCGACAAGCAAAATTCTGACTTAAATGATAATTCACGCCTGTCATCTTCAAAAGGCGAAAATAATTTTATCGATTGTAATGCATACCAAGCCAGGGAAAGAAATATCAACACAACCAGCCACAATTGAGCTAACTGAACTTACAGAGGCAAACTGAAATTAAAATCACAATAACCACTGGCTCTTAGTAGCTAGGCATCATTCAGAACCAAAGTGAAATATCAAATAAATAACTCAGAAATAAATTACCATATCAATTTTACAATTTTTCTGCAAAATAAGATCTTAAGCTCAAAACTCAAACAACACTATTCGCCATGAACTCTCTACATTCATATCAGCATAACATGTATCATATACTGACACAACACGCAAGGATGAACCTATATGCCAAGTGCCAACTTTCTTTGTTCTCTTTTAAGGACAAAGGCAATAATAATAAAAATGTTGAAATACAAGCTAACTTGGCTAAAAGTACCATCTCTTAAAACGTAATATAACTATAGTTCTTAATTTCATGTGTAAGAAAACATTTCTCATTTTATCCTACTTCTATGTGAACATATATAAATTGGCTGCTAAAGCATACAAAATACAAAATAACCAAGAGCATGAGAAGCCAAAACGATCTCCTTGGAAGTACCCTTCTTAATAGAATTGAGGCACTTGTATAGTAAAGTTGCAAAACTGAAACCAAAAAGCCAAAAAAATAAATCATTTTAAAGTGGATAAATGCATGCCGACTCAGAATTAATCAATTCTCCATTTTTTAAAAGAACACTAACCTAAGACAACTCTTGGTTTTTCTTCACCTCTATGTAGAATATAAGACTACGGCATCTGTAACTGACGACATCCATAATAGCCACCAACACGCAGCCTGTTCAAACCAAAAACATAGAAAAAAAAGGTTGAAGAAAACAAAGAAAACAAAACAAACAAACACATACCTTTCAATGAAGTCTCTGTTGTCCTCGTTGTAGCCACAATACCATCAGAATTTGGTCGCCTTTGTTGAGTAAATAAAACACCCAAGTGAAACACTTATCAGAACAGAAAAACTCAAAGTAAGCAATTTCTCATGATCAACACAACCCCCTAGAAATCCCCTAAATTCTTGAAAATCAACTGGTGCTTAAATTTTAAAAGCTCCAAAATTATCAAGATTTCAAAACAAATTTTAGTGTCATAGAGCAGCCACAAGACATGCAGATAGTACAAAAGGGGTTTCACAAAACAAATCCAAAGGTAAACATGAGAAAAAGAGCAAAATCGAAGGGTATAATACAAAAACTACGCCAAAACAAACCAAACGATGGCAATTATATAACATAAATGGTAAAAGTGCAAGGATCTAACCATCGAGAAGGAGAAGCAAGCACAGATCCAGCTCTCATTTTAAGGTGTCGACTTTCTCGATCTCATCCTGGAGCCTGCTGGCACAATCCTCGAGCTTTTGAATCTTCTCGTACACACCACGACTCCTCGAGACTCCCGGCGAAAACTATGTCTCGGTTGTTGGAAACGACAAATTTTTATTTTGCATCGTTGCTAAGCCACCTCGACCGTCTTTCCTGGTACTGCCGACGGGTCTCCCTGTCAGTCAGGGTGGGATCTCTCCAGGTCGCCAAACGCTGCTGAAAAGTGTTGCACATGTATGATTGGTGTGGAAGAGATTTAAAAGAAGGAAATGGGAAATAATTAAAAGAAATTGGAAAAGGAATTTGGAAATTTTTTGCTGCGAAAAGAGAAGTTAAGGTAGGAGAAAGAAGGAAAGAGAAGAAAAGGGAAAGAGAAATGGTAGAGATAAGTCTGTCGTAAACCAAAAAATCTGAACAAAGATTGTTGCGTATGTGGGATGGTTTGGTGGGAAGTGATTGGTCGGTCAAGTCAGAAGTCTGCAAAACTTCACAAGTAAGGAACAAATGACCATACTGACCCTAAAAGCTGGAGCCAATGAAGGAACTTGGTCGGTTCAAAAGAAGTGGCAAAGTCGAAAATAAAGCAGGACACGTGTCAATTTTTGAAGACCACTAAACCGGACACGTGTCGCTCATAGAAGAGGCTTAACTCTTTCATATATAGATAAGACTAGTTGGCGCAGCCGCTTCCAATTTAGTCGAAATTTAAGTAAAAATTTTGTATGCTATAAATCTATAAAATTAGTCAATTAGTATGTTCAACCAAAAGATGTATAAATTAATTGGAAATTAAAATAGGGACTAAACTTAAAAAATCTCCACACGACCAATAAATTGCTCGGTATCAATCCCAATAACTTTATTAATTGCTTGGTATCGATCTTTGATAGCAGTTTCAATTGCTATTTTCATCTAGATTTTTAATCTGGTCGTATTTTGTGTGATTCCAATTTCATAGATTCCTAATTCTAATAACAAAAAAAATGCATTACTGGTTATGATGCATACTGAAATACAATTTTCAAAACTCTCATGGCATCAAAATATAATTGCTCTTAAAAAACAATTAACTTCATCATAAATTATAAATAATCCAAATATTGACAATAATTCTTCGTCTAACAGTTAGAACCAAAGCATTCATAATTATTCTAGCTCTTTCATTCATAGCTAAGAAACTGTAAAAATTATATGTACTCGTACCTTAAAACTAACTAAAAATTTGAATTATACATAAGAGCACAGTACCTTAGCCAAATATTTTCGAAAGGACAAGAAGGGGAGAAGACTTAAAATGTGTCCCTAAGAGTGTGAGCTCACGTTACCAGTGGATGAAATAAACAAGCTCAAAATTATTGATAAACTTAACAAAACTCACTAATAATACACCTATTCAGAAGATTACAAATTGTACTTGTAGTCTCCTTGCCACAACAGAAAGGGTTACCCACGGACACAAGTTCAAAGCTTGAGCAATGTCTGGTCCCTTTGGTTGAAGAATCTGGCCACTGTCGACATCTCCTCAATCACTGACGGAATAAACAAAAAACCCTTAGGATCAAAATATGTAATTTTTTGCATTGCTGAATAAAGAAACCAAGGGGCAAAATAGTTAAAAGACAAAATAATTATAGAAAAGGGAAAACCTGAAACATAAAAATAAAGATGAAGGCAATGCCGCAACTGCAGAAGAAAATCGAATTAATTTTAAGGCATCAAAATCATATTTCGCTTCTCCTAAAATAAAGGTGACATTACGTCAAAGTGTCTTGAAGACATGAAAAAGAAAAAGAATTTCAAATGCCTGATCAACAATTTCATGCACCTGAATAAACGTGGGAAATGAGAGAAGTGTCTTTTCACCAACCTTCCGTCGTCTAGCCTGCAGGAAAAGAGCCAGCTGTGGATATTCCAAGGTACATATATATGATATGGATTACGGATGTATATGAGAGTACCCACAGTAAGTTCTGATGCCGGCTAACATATATAGAACTGCTTATAGGCTTTGAAAAATTTTCACTTTCTTGTATTTGATAGTGAAATGTTTATGTCGTAGTGCCACCACAAAGAGAAAAATAAAGCTCCAAGATCTTAATCTTGGGATTGTCCTTGAAAAAAATTTCAATCTCTAAAAGATAATAATAAAGCAACGGAGTCCAAAGTGGTACTCAAAATTCTAACAAATATATAAGAATGCAAGTGTAGAATACTTGACCCAATTCATGACAAAAAATCCTCTCAGGTAAGTTTTACTGGTGCATTTAGATATAATAATGTTGAAGTTACAATAGCAAATAATTTCCAAGTACCATGTAGGACCAACCTATTAGTCAAAGCGCTTGCGTCTGGTCTCAAATAACTGCATGGAGATTGTAAATTTGTGGTAAAAGAACAAAGAGGTTACATGTGTATTGTCCCCATTGCAATTCCAAAATAGAATCAGTAAGACTCTCAATTAGGGATCTCCTCCTACGAATTTGACAACCTGAAGAAGTTTTACAGAAGAAAATGTTCCATGATCAAATGAACTAAAGTTGATAGTATTCAGTCTGTAGCACAAGAAAAAGTGATAGTCCCATTTGTGTGGGTTGACTTCCTCACTTTATTTAAGCAATCTAAGAATAAGAAAGAACCTCTGCCTTACTTACTCTTTTTGTCTATATTACTTACGAAGATCCAAAAACAAACAGACTTCCATATAGTACTAACAGGATATGGAAATTATACCTGAAATATAAGCATCACAATAGCAAAAATTACTTTTGCAGCCTGTGTTAAGAAGTTGACGCTGATGGGGGCTAAATTTGAAGCGACCATATCCACTGCTGACATAAAAACCAAGAATGGGAACCAAGGTACATGAGATGCAGTAAGAGTGCATGTGACAATTAAGAAAAAGTAAACTTGCTTTTATGAATACATTTAAAAGTACACAAAGAAGTAAATACATGTGTATGGATGAAGGCTACATATTTCAAGTTATACAACGAATTAGGCAGGACATTCTAAGTTTTATTTTACTATCATAAAATGTATGAAAGAAGTACTACGATTAAAATATATCTAAAGTTGATATTGGAAATTTTTAATCTTCTCGAGATAATAGCTGGTGATCAAGCATCAATCCTCAAGTTGTTTTATCATCCATGCTATATAGGCCACAAAAAAAAAAAATCTAATTTTTCAAATCTTTTTTCACAGAAATAATATATAACAAAAGGCAAAACATATATTGTCTTTTAAAAGATCAAATAATTTTTTTAATAGTGTAACTTTAAAACACTTGAAGCAAACGAACCATTGCGTCCATCGGCAACCACCGTCCATACATCGATGGTGAGTGGTGATCCCTTAAGCGAATTAATACATAGGCGGAGCGGATGAGAATGTCGATACCAATCAATCACTTGGGCTGCTTTTTGAGTAGCCTCTTAAAATCAAATTGTGATCTTCTTTTTGGTCATTCATCTCAATTTAGAAAATTGAGAAAAATTGTAAAAAAAAAAAAAGAACAAAAGAAATTGACAGCACAGTAGACTCATCTTTATGAGAAAACCGTGAATGCGAACACAATGTTCGAACATTCAATAGACATAAAACAACAATTCAATCTTGAAATTCTACAATATTTTTGTTTTTTACTTAAACAGGGAGTACCAATATAATAATAGTGAAAACAAATTCTTCTTTAATACATGGTGGATAAATTAAAAATGTACTTAGCCATGATGGTAAGTCCATCGGCATTTCCAAATATCACAGCTCAATCCTAAACTTTTGAGCATAACAATTATTGAAATTTTGGGGGGAACCCACGTTAGAATATTTAGAAAGAATTATGAAAAGATTGCATATCTAGAGAATTAAAAAGTAGATCCTTAATCTTTTTTTCAAAAACACACTAATACTTTCAAATTCATATTTATATTATTCAGAAAATTAACAATCAAGTACAATGGCAAATGCAACAGAGGAAATGAAAGCTTAATTCATCAAAATAAAACAACAACCATACCAGAAGATTCCAGAGTCTAGTGTCCCGATGAAAAATGCCAATAACTCTAAGCATATAATTCAAAGCTCGGAATATCTGAAGTTTCAATTAACAAGAAAAATGAATTAAGCAATGGTTTGTTATAAGTAATAATATCAGACAACCCAAAATGTTAGAACACGCAACAAAAAAGAAAAAAAATACATACCTGGTAGGTATAAAGCTGCACATATATAACGTGCATGTATTGGTTCACTCGAGTATAATGCCTTGACATACGATAAACAGTTTCCAAAAAATATTCGAGCAGAAGAAGATTTTGGTGCTTTAAAGATATAAACATAGCTAACGTGTAATTAGAGCTTACAATCACTTTGAAAGGAGTAAAGGGAAATTTTTTTTTATAAACACTCCAATGAGTTCGAAGCATTTTTTAAATCCATAATCAGAATAACAAAAAAGACAACAAAACCCATCAAAGATAAATCAACAGTTTAGAAACATTAGAACAACCAAAAACAATCACCTATTTTGGCTGTCCATTTCGGCCACGAATAGAAGTCACGACCATACTCACAATTTCAGTACGATATTTTACCAGATAATTCTCCCTTGAGTGCACACTGACCGTAATCAACTGAAATATAAAATCAACAGAAAAAAAAAAAGACCTTAGTTGTATCCTCATGGTCATCAGTTTTATCCTCTCTAATTTTCATCTCATTCATTTCCATGGGAAGCTCGTGTACGTCAGATGTGCTAGCAACAGCTCCAGTTGGGTTAGAATCCATATTTACATCATAAGTTTTCTGAGTTTTCTTTCTCCAATCTCCACTTCATATACAAAACACTGGTCTATTTCTTGCTCAACCATCGCACGTTTAACGCAAGAAAACCCGCCCTGAAATTGTTATAACAAAAAATCTTCAAAACAGAGCTCGAATTTGTATACCTAAAATACGAAATGTTCCAAATTCAAAATGCGGCCACATGAAATTCAATAATCTAGAATCGAAACTAAAATAATAAATCAGTCATCGAACCACCGAGAATGGCTGGAGATAATGAATCGGAGCCTTCCATTCGACGTTGTTGAACCCTAGATTATTGAAATTGGGCTAATGGTCACCGGATATCGGGGCGAAGAAGTCAGACCATCTTGGAGCGCTGCTCCATCGCCGAACCACCGAGAGTCCGACCACTACTTTGGCCTACACGAAATAAAAAAAGATCGAACAGAGAGAAAATGAGATATGGCTGATCTTAATTCTTAAGCGACCCAAAATAAGAGCCAATAACATGTAGAAACCAATACACTTTCGGCGCGGTCAACCGGGATTCATGGAGATCAAATCTGTCTAATCAGCTTTATGTCATGACAGCGGCAGCGTACGCAAGATGCAGATTTTTCGATAAGCAACCACAGAGCAATAAAAAAAAAGATTAATAAATGCGTCATTTAACATATTGAGTGGCAACATTGTAAATAAAATGGGACACGTGTCGAGATTTAAAGAGCCCATAAGTGGACACTTGTCAGCATTTTAAGCCCACTCACTTCTTCATGTATAGATAAGAGAGATATATATATATATACTAGGGAAGGACCCGCCATGGCCCACGGTTAAGTTTGTAAGTTATTTTTACATTTAAATATGATGAATGGAATAAATTAATATGAGTATGAATGATAAAATGTAAAGATGTCTTTATAAACACTACCTAAATACATTAAAAGGAGAAGATTCTTGAGACTAAACACAAAACAACAAATATTACCAATATACACTAAAAACAGGAATTTCTAAATTCCAAGCATTTTCAAGCACACTTTGATAAGCACTTAACAACTTAAATATCTAAGAGCAGTTGATGACTTAATTAAAGTTATTAGTGATTGCACAAGTCTAACTCTTCATACAAAAAAACGAGCAGGTCGAGAGCTCAGCTTTGCACAAATTCAGTAATGTGATTAATAACTATTTTATTTTAAATATATACGATATCTTATAATATAAGGTCTTTAAATATCAACAATTCATAATTGTCAATACAAATACAGAAAGAGCTCCATATTCTTGATCCATCCATATTTGGATCAAATGTGGTCTGGATTTAGAAGCTCAAGAAACCTGCAATCTGATTAAATGTGATCTGAATTTCGAAAACGACTACACTGCCTCATACAGTTCACTTTTCACATTATTAATCATTTTGATCGAAAAAATTTTCTCTCATATTGCTAGCTAACACTCCCTTAATAGTAATACTTAAGTCATATCCTTTTTCTTGACTTCCTTTTCTCAATCAAAGATTTCTTACTTGATAGAAATACAACACTCTATTAGTAGTATTAATTTCTAAGAGTAGGCTAAAGCTAAACTAAACCTTGACGATAGTATTTGTAATAAAAAAAAAAAGAATGACGAAAGAGATGCTAACAGTCTTTTTTCATCACATCAACAGAGGCAAACATAAAAGATAAGTACACTGAAATGAAAAATAAACACCTCCCAACCATTTTGGCGGTGTTCTCTACACCCATCTTTCTGAACCAGTTCTGAAACAGTCTTTTGGAATTATTACATAGGCGCATAATACATTTGTCAAATGATGCATCTCACAGAATCATCCATTTTATCACAACCTTTATTTTACAAAAGTTTATTTAAATTGATAGTGATTAAATAAAAAGGAAAAAAAAAACGTTAAACAATGGGATTATATTGTTCTAGGAGCATCAATCAAATCCATGAGATCAATTCTTACTGAGTTTGAAAATAATAAACTACGAGAAATTTATTTTTTCTTGATAAAAACAGAGAAAAAAGTGATTTAAAACTTTGATGGAAAGGTAGTAAAGATAAATCCACTCACGTTAAGATAATAAAACATGAGAATGACTGTGTTTTAGTGCAACACAAAAGGAGATATGTCAACTATACCAGCTGCTAACCACGTGAGCTGTTTCTCATCATTTTTGTACAAAAACGTTTGAAGATTTTGTTTCTTTACATGCAAAATTTGAAAAGGAGTATTCATGGTTGAGCCTATTTATCAACTGCAAATATCAATAATAAACAAAGAAAAAGAAAAGCATCAAACTTGGTTTTTTCTTAATATACATACATGCTTTTTTTATCAGGGATATATCTATAATCTTAGACACATGAAAAAATAGCATCAAACCCCACAAAATCCTAAATAAAATGTAAAGAATAGATAAAAAGGTTAATACTTTTACCTTCATGTAGAAAAATCTCCATGAAAGATATTGTTGGGAAAGAGGAAAAGACAAAAATAAAAATCCTGCAAAAAAACACATAGAGATGGCATAAGTGAACAAAATTATAAAAGCATTTGCTCAAAAACGGTAATTTACAATTCTTAATATTTTAATGACCGCTTTCTCATCTTGTATAATTCAAAAATCAGAACTCTGCACCATCAAACCTAAAACAGAGCTTGAGGTTACACAATACCAGAGGAGGACAAATTTAAAATTGCATTACGAATTGAATTATCAACGAATCGAAAAGTTAAATTACCTATTATGGTCAACGAATAGAAAAGTTAAATTATCTATTGTTGTAGATTTCTGCAGGTGTTTCGAATAACAAAACTTTAACATTCCCTAAAATATAAAATGGATCAATATTCATTAAACCAATAATTAGTTGTAATCATCATTAAAACAATAAGCAATGAAAAAAGTGGATAGATAATAATAAATACTAAACAAACAACTAAGTAACCATACAAAAATAATAGATCATGAATAGTTGCAACAATAGATGTGAGTTTAAAATCATATCAAAATGGTCAAAGCAAAAATTATCTTTACCCACTACTTAAATGGAAGAATCAATAATAAGAAGAAAAAAATGAAATCCCTGCAAGAACAAATGGAATCCCTGCAAGAACTTTTTACAGACATTAAGCAAAATTTGTCGGAGATAAAATGTTTAAAGCAACTCATTATCTAACAATCAAGAGCGTGCTTGAACATTAAACAACAATGTAGAGCAAACATTAAGGGTTCATTACATAAACTACTTGGGATTTGTCTTAACAATATACATTCCAATTATTCTTCAAATGTAGAAAAATATCAGAGAAGTATAACAAACTTCTTTTGAGATTATATTTGTTAACAAAAGTCCTCCCATTGAGGTTGCATTTCGTACAACAAAAACACGATCCGTATGGTATTTGTGATTTTGAAGAATGCTTTTTTTTTCTTTTTTTTTTTCGTTTTGGATTATACTAAACCTCAAGAACTTTTTGTCCTTAACTTTTGTTTTTGAATAAGTAAAATAACAATAACCAATCCTTGAGCAGCAATTGGTAGAAACGTCTATTTTCTTTCACATCTTCTCTCTGAATGTATTTTCATTTCCATGTGAGCTTCAAACTCAACTCATGTGCATAGTGTGTAAGAATTTGGGATCGTCAAGATATAAGGGTTTGACAAAGAGAAAATCGGAGATTTTTTCTCCCTCCGGGCATAACTCCATACGACAGCACCTTAGATATATCTAATATAAACAACAACAACAACAACATAGCCTTTTCACTATATCTAATATAGTGAAAATTAAATTGGAAATGTACTTTAGATCTTGAAACATCTCTAGATGAATCGAAAAAAAATACTTACACGCATCCGAGCAGCAACTCTTGGGAGACGGCCAAAATTCCTAAATTGCTGAGCAGTACGGTCGCGGTGGGGATTTTGGATTTATGTGGGATATGAGTTTTGATTCCAGTTCGAGAGAGAGAGAGAAATCGGAAAGAGATGACTATCTTGGCCAGAGAAGTTGTGATTGATAGTCACGTGGGAAGGAACCGACCAAAAAAAATCAGGGATAAAAAGTTACAAAAAAGCCAGCAATTAACTCACCTGCTAAATACAATCGACATGTGAATCCATGCGTGGAACCTTCCCACCTGAACAAGATGTCGACAGGGGACGCGTTGTCGAGTTGAAGCTCGTCGAGAGGAAAACCCTATCCTCCGGCCAAAAAAAAAAAAATTCCGGTCGAAAACATTACACAGGAAAAAAATTAACATTTTTGGGCGAATTGAGGGGACATGAGAACGAATTTTCGGGAAATTTGTAAAGATTCATGAATTGTAAAATACAGAAGAAAAAAATATATGGGTCTCGTTCTGTTGTCACCTCTCTCTGCATCTGTATATTTAGAAAAGGAACCTGATAATAAGAAAATTAATTAAGCAAAATACAAAAGGAAGCAGGGAAAAAAAACAAAATAAATTAAGTAATACACATGTCAAGATAATAGGGCAATTGGAGATAATAAAAAATTAATTTCTGGTACAGTGCCAAACTTCTTTTTGTATAATAAGAGACAATAGATATATAATAAAATAATAGAGAATATACATATATATCTCTCTTATCTATATATGAAGAAGTGAAAGCCATTATATTGCGACAAGTGGCTTCTTCTTACGTTGACATATGGCATTTTATTTATCAATTACTTAAATGTCCTTTTTTGGACACACATAAAAAAAAAGCTCTAACACTACTTGGGAAGGGCAATAAGGTCAATTGGATGTCCCTTCTATTTTTATGTGTTTTGACTTAAATGCCCCAATCGTATTAACCTTTTGGGGGTTGTGGACGTAATTTACCGTCTATGCTTCTTTTCTTCCTGTCCTCGCGGGATTTCTCCCAGAAAATCTGGTGAGATGCGCGTCATGTCTTCAATCGGTTGTACCCTTTTGTTGCTGAATTTTACACGTCTTCTCTTTACCTAAACCACTGAAATGAGCACCACTTTTTTCTATTTTTCATCGCACGCTACACTGAAAGAGATTGAAGAACGAACATGTTCTGCTCTCCATTCTGAAACCTAACCTTCGGGACTCTCTACTGGACCAAAATTCCTCATCCATGGCTTTTTTTCCTCTCCATGGCCGAAATCCTTTCAACCCGTTCCCCGGCCCCAAACCCGATTCCAGTCCGAATTGGCCTCGATTCCACTTAATACTGGTGTTGCCGCTGCGACTGGTCCTCCTTTTCTACTTCTTCCAGTATGTCTTTCATTATTTTAGGTTATAAATAGTGGAAATGCAAAAAAATGTGTTTTTTGGAAATTTAGTCGATAGTATTTTGTAGTTAGTTATTCATGTTTGAAATTTTTCATCAGGTATGAGAAAGATGGAAAGCCATCCGAGCTATCTTCAGTGGACGTGTTTGTGACTACTGTGGACCCCATGAAAGAACCTCCCCTTATTACAGCAAACATGATTTTGTCAGTACTTGCTTGTGACTACCCAGTCGACTAGGTCGCGTACTATGTATCAGATTGCCGCCACGTGGCAAAAATTTGCTTGGGAAGGTTGGTTGGCTCTTACTTTGCTATTTTCTTTCCCATTTCTCCTGCCCACTTTTTTCGAGCCTTTCAGCTCATATTTGATGTTTGCCGACTTTTTTGTGATCTCCCCGACGCCGTCTGCTGCGACTGCAAGAACGACTTCGTCCGGAAAGCCACCATACCGTTAAGACAAACCTCAGGTCAAATCTGTAAGATCCTGTGAAACCCACCTCAAGAATTATATTTTTGCTAAATTTTCTTTTTTATTTTGTTTTGTAAATTATGTCTAAATGTGGTCAGTTCACATTGGGCCGATAATGGAGAAAAGATTCGGTGCAGACCCAAACCAGAAGGCTCGGGTTCTACTGCGTGATGTGATGGAGAAGATGAAGCCATTCTTAATGGCATATGAAGGGATTCAAAGAAGAGTGGGAGGTGAAGCAGCACCTATATTTATTCATATTATTTATTGTTACTATTATTTCATTGCTTCAATGTTTGTTATGAATCTTTAAGTGATGTTTTTGTGGAGTTAAATGTGTCTAGACATATATTTGAAACCTAATCTCCCAACACCCAATCCCAAATACAAATTTCCGAAATCCAAAAAGAATAGGTAAAAGTTACACTTTTAGCTATGAATTTGTTCGAATGAAAATCTGCCTTAATAATATGTTTAATCTTTGTAATAAAAGAAATGAGTAAGCACAAGAAAGAAGTAGTTATGAAGAAAGCTGAAAATGATTTAGCTGCCGTGATGGATCAACACAAGTCATGCATAGTAAAAGAGCTGCATGGAATAGACTTTTGGAAGCTTAGATGAGCTTATTTTCCTGGGGTACACATAATTAACTATTTTTCCACTGATTATTATTGAAGCTGCATTAGGTTCCAAGGCCTTATTGTTTCCCCTTACATGTTTTAGATTCAGGAATATGTTGAAGCTGCTACACTTTGCAACTTTTGTAAAAATGGTACACTTTTGAATCTTGATGGGATCAATACTTCCTTGCTACCTCTAAGCGACCCATCGGTCGAGCCTTTGCAGATTAGTGTGCTTTGCTATGTATTGGGGTTAATTGTTCCGAAAATTTCTTTACTTAAGAATGTTTTCAAAAAAATGTTTTTCTGGATTTATTTAAGAGCAAAAAAAATTGTTTTACATTTATTTAAGTAAGAGCAGAAAATACTTGTGAGTAAAATTTAGGACGTGTTTGCTAAAACGAGTCGCGAATTTCAATACATGAATTCATTATCTAATAATATTTTGGTATGAATTTATAGAATGCCACTTAGAATTCATCTGTAATGAACTCGCATCTTGGGGTTGCTTCCATTCTCTGGTGTTGCATCGGGATGAGAAAGTAGACATGACGAGTCCTGATGATATCTTAGTTCACCCTTTAAAAAATCGAGAAAGACAACGTAGGTACAGGGCCACAAAACGTCACCAAGCTGATATGAGAAAGATCATGTGAGTTGTTAAACGGTTCTGACCATTAGAGTAATTTTAATGTTCCTCTTGAGATTTTATTTATTTATATTTTTTTCCTTGCATTCTGAATGTGTCAGTTAGAGGGTGTATTCAGAAATTAGATTTAGTATGAGTTACTCAATTTAGGTAATAGTATGAATCCTGGGAAGGTTTAGGGGTAATTTGAGGAAGAAGAATGGAACTTGGTGCCTATTAATTGGTTGTTGTGAGGGTGGGACTTGATAGCCGATTGGAATTATTGAATGTTCAAAAGTGGTTGGAAAAGTTCCTCTTTGGAAGATTTGTAAAGTGATGGTCATAACGCTCACCTCATCCTAATTATGCACTTTTTCACTTGATTGTTGCACTAATTATGCCGTGTATTCCAAAATGTGTGTATTCCAAATCAGTGTTTGTTAATGGGTTGTCCTTTAATCTGATGAAAAACCAGAATTTTTCATGTTGAAAGCTATTGAAAATTATAAAAGAAGCTTATGTGGGATGGTATCTTCTCTCATGACTGCTCATATAAAATATAGATTCGAATAAACACTCTGCAATTCAACTCAACTTACATCAATTACATTACTGATGATGAAAAGGTCTTTATATCTATGTTTGGTTGTAACTATTGTAAAATTGAACTCCTATAATGGCTGCCATCTGTGGATGTACTCCAACTTCATATAATAATATATGATTAAGAACCATAGTTTCTTATTACATACATGGATGTCGTGTCTGATATATGGAAATGCTCATGATTAATACTCTAAATGCCATGTTCAGTTAACACATGCTAAAATATATTGCCACTTCATTTTTCTTGATACATGTTATTCTCGGATACAAGAGGCCTTGTAGTCAATGATGAAAGTCACTGTCCTTACATTTCTTGGAACTCATGAGAGATGCATATATTTGTTTTCTCCACTATTTTCCGTATAACAGAAATTAGGCCTGCTATGGACAATTTGGCGAGCGTTTATAAGAGCATGAAAGTAGCAGGAGTCAATATATTATTGTTATTGATAGAGATTCAAGTGCGTAAAATACTTCGTCAAGAGAAGACCCTAAGTAGCTGGATTCTTGACTTCCACTCGATTGGTTCGCTTGTTCGACCGTTGTCACTCAGGGGGCGTCTACCAAAATATCTGGTAATTTTTCTTATTCATAATAAAGGATTTTTAGATCAACATTTGATGGATGGTGGATGTTGATTTCTTAATTTCAGTTTTGGTTTTTTATTTCTTATTTTTTCTTGGATTACAGAAAGGAAAAAATCCTCTAAAATGACCTGCAAAATGTTCTTATCCTGACAGTGGCCCATTATTTTCTTTATGCATAGGTGAAGAAACTCAAACTGGTGTTGATATACGCCAGGTCCAAGATAATGGCGAAACCGAATTGCAAAACTTGAACTGCACAGTTAAAAAACAACTTTAAAGAAAAGGGTCAAAAAGCACAACAGTGAGTTCCCAGAGATCTTCTCAGTCAAACCAGGAGAAACCTTCATTTCCAACCAAGAAAAGGGTCCAGGTACCACTGTCAAACTTCTGGGGCCCCAACTGATCAAAACAAGCTGATCCACTTTGATGGATTATGCATTCGAATTGGTGATTAGTTTTTATAAATCTGTTTATGTTTGGTATTTAGTTTGCATGGTATCTCTTTTCTGGTTTCTTATCATGAGCTTCAAATTAGTTATTCCCAGTATGGCCATCCTGTTGTGTTAACAAATGAAAGCTTTAATGATTTTAACCCCTATTTCCTTTTTCCTTTAGAAAATAATATTCTTGTGTAACTTAGTTGAACTTGTGTTATTGCATCAGGCAAAGTATGTTGGTCACTTAAAAGATTGATTGTTCAAAAATTTATTCGTGAAAGTGAGCCTGATGAAACCTCAAAGAATGCTTTAGTATTCTTTCTATTGCATATTTCTTTAAAAGAATGACCCGACTGCTTGTTTTATGTTCCATGCAGATAGAAAACAGAGATTTTATATAGTTTCTGCCTTGGCCGAGACAAAGGTAGACCTAAAAGGTATAAATACCTTAACGACTAAACTGGCCTCCCTGTCTTTTCTATGCTCCATTCTCTAATGGTGAAAATCAATTGGTAGAATTTCTTATATAATTTTACATCTCTCTGGGTTTAGGGAAAGGGGGTCTAAGAATGGCTCCAGAATAAGCACTTGCGAAAATTCTTCAGGTTCTGTATCATTCTTATGTTGATTTATGTTGTGTATGTGTGTCTATGTCTGTTGTGGTCTTATTGTTAGGATTCTAAATATTGACCTAGGCCTGAACACTTCCTAATTCTAAATATTGTTAGGATTCTAATTTTACTACTGATAAGCATACGGACTATATATACTCTTCACAATCATATAATGCTAAAAACAATTATGAGTAAGCAGATTGTTTTGAGATTTATCTTCATAGGTTCTCCTTTGTGGTGCAAAGGTATCAGCAAAAAAGTTCTATTGGTTACTTGTAGTTGGTTACAATTTTACATCTTGTTGCAGGCACAAAGTAGTGACAGATGAATGTAACACTTGCTTTTGGATGAGGACATGTGGAGGGATACCCCATCCATATTTGATTAGCAGTGTAGTTTATATTTGTTTATTAGTTGGAGTTGTGAACAATAACAAGATATTTGTTTTTGTAGTGTTTGCTTGATCCTTGCACACAATAATGTATATATATTCTGCTCAGTGAGGTGAGGTGAACAATTTTACGGAATATCTGACATAATTAAGAACAGTAAATGATGGCACAGAACATATTAAGGAATGATTATAGACTAATTACAAAAAAAATACGTACATTTAACTGACACTAAATTTTAACTTGATTATCAACTCATTTGAGGCGGCTGTGCGTGCACAGCCGGAAGTCAACTAGTATATATATATAGAAGTGCGTTCAAATGAGAAAGGAACACAATGAAAGAAATGAGAATAAATTTGTATCATTTGATCTATCGTAGCACCGGCTAGGATGAAGTCAAATATTGGTTAATTCGCAGTGGCATTTTAGTAAATATAGATGATTTTTATGTTCAATTTATGAAGGGGAAGGGAATTTATGTAGGGTAGTTTATTTATTTAAAAAAAAAATAAGTGGAGAAAAAAAAAACGAGTGGAAAAAAATAAAAAGGACGTATTTCCCGACTCCGTTTTTGTAATAACATTTTATTAGAAAAACAGATTTTCATTATACGTTTTTTATTTAATTTTGATTAATTTAAAAAATATTTATTTCCTTTTAAAAAGAGAGGAATGGAATAAAAATTAATATTATAAAACGGATTTAACAAATCCGTTTTTCAAAACCCCAAAAACCAATCAATTTAGGGTTTTGAAAAACGTATTTATTAAATCAATAAAACCCTAAATTTATTGATTTTGGGGTTCTGAAAAACGGATTTAATAAATCCGTTTTATAAAACCCTAAATTGATTGATTTTTGGGGGTTTTGAAAAACGGATTTATTAAATACGTTTTTAATTCATAAAATTTAAATTTAAAAAAAATATTTTAAACCGTATAATATAATTACGTTTTAAATTAACTAAAAAAATTATTGAAAAACATATAATTATTATACGTTTTTAAATGAAATTTTCCAAACAAAAAAAAAAAATAAAAACGTATTTTATAAATACGTTTTATAATTAAATAGCTATAAAACGTATTCTATGCATACGTTTAACAATTGAAATAAAATCACAAATCTTCTTCTTCTTCCCCATTTCATTTGCGTGACTGAACCTCAGAAAAATTGCGAGAGCTTATCGGAAGAAAAAAAAACTCGATCCAATTGCCACCCCGACGTGAATCGACAATAACAACACGAACCTCATTTCCGGTTAAGTCATTCGCACGAGGTATATTGGCTTATCTTAACTTTTGACATTGTTTGGAGTTGTTTGAAAATTGGTAATTGTTATAGTATATTTGAATGTGGTGGTGTTTGAAGATTGTGAATTGTTAATTGTTTATCGATTATGTGTGTATGTTGAATTGGAGATTAGAATTTTGTTCTAAATTGTCAATTGTGTATCGATTGGTTGTTGTTGGGCTTAGGGTTTTTTGAAATTAGGGTTAGAATTAGAATTAGGGCTTCCAATTTATTCGAAATATAGGTAAATTGTATGTTATTGTTGGATTATGGATATTAGGGTTTTGGAGGATTAATCGATTGGGAATATTTTTTTTGGTTTTTTCATTAGAGTAAAAAGATGGGTTTAAAGAATAATTAAATTTTTTGGGTGTTAGATTACAGATTATGTGTTGTTGTAACTGGGAAGAATTGAAAGTTTTTGTTTGCAACAGGTATAAATAGCGTATTGTGGTCCCTATTTTGTTAATTTGTATTGGCGATTTGCGAGGGATCAGTTAAGAGATTTTGTTTCATTTATGGATAGTCCGGATGGTTCATTTGTTATTACGGGGAGGATATCATATGAACAATTGGTACAGATGATTAATGAAAATTGTCGGTCTGGAGAAGGTTGGACAATTCAAGCGATTACTTTAATGTTTCGCCAACGCGATGGTTCGTGGACTGCCGGAAGACTCGATAACGATAGTGCTCTTGAGTGGATTTATTTATTTCCTCCTATGTCCATTGTGTATTTGCATTTATCGTTGGAGGCAATTACACCGGTCACACAATTTGAGGATTTTATTCCTTATTACGGGGGAATGGATGAGGGCACGTCGACTTCTCATCTACGTAATTTTGAAGAAGGGACAAGCTCACCAATTAGAGAAAGGGCAAATGAGGACGGGGAAGAAAGTGACGAAGAGTTCGCACTCGGTGAAGATGATTTCACAGACGAGACCTCAGAAACCGAATCAGATAGATCGGTGAATGAGGAGAGTGAAGTCGAGTTCATTGAAGAAGAATTTCCCTTTCCTAGTAGTGGTCGGCACGTATACCGCGAGATTGGTGAATGGGATCCGTCCAGGATAGATGAGGACGAGTATGCTATTCCACGCTGGAATGGCGACATTGAGACCATATGTTTGGGTATAGTTTTTCGGAGCAAGCAAGAAGCCCAAATGGCTTTAATGGGTTGGAACGTTGATAGATTGCGGGAGATTCGGGTAAATGATTCAAATCAAAAGTCATTCAAAGTGGTCTGCAGATCTAGTGAAGATCCACCTTGTGTGTGGAAGGATCGGGTGACTAAGTCCAGGCGGGTTCATGAAATGTGGGAACTAACTGAATGGACTGATAGACACACTTGTATGCAACCGGTCGAGAGAAATGACCATAGAAATGTAACCGCTCAAATGATTTCAAATCTCATTCGTAATAAGATTCGAAAGAAGGTGGAGTACGACGTCGACATGATCCAGGCTGATGTGAAACAGTGCTGGAAAGTGGATTTCAGCTACAAGAAGGCATGGCACAGAAGGAGAAAAGCCATCGAGAGTGTATATGGCACTTGGGAATCGAACTTTGCAGAACTCCCTCAGTAAGCAAAAATTAATTACAAATATATGTGTTGTTTGTCTGTCGCTATTTTTATCTATTTAATATGAAACTGTTTTGTAATGTGTAGGTATTTTTCCGCGCTTCAAAGAACGAATCCCTCCACAGTTGTAGAGTGGGAATGGCAGGGTGGGGAAATGGCGCGACAACTTCGAGACAGACAATTCAAATTCGTATTCTGGGCGTTTGGTCCCGCCATTCAAACTTTTCAAATGTGCCCGCCGGTTATTAGCGTCGATGGCACACATTTGCGTGGATCCTACAAGGGAAAATTGCTTGTGGCCATGGCACAGACTGCGAATAAGCGCCTATTGCCAGTCGCGTATGCGCTTGTCGATGAAGAAAGCATAGATAGTTGGTCATTTTTCCTTAGGAATCTGCGGCAATATGTAGTCTTCCAGAGACGGATCTGCGTTCTTCTGACAGATATGCGGGCCTACTCAGTGCCATTGAATCATTAGCAGATTGGCAAGAACCCGTTGCGTATCACCGGATTTGCCTTCGACACCTTCGAAGCAACTTGGTGACTAAGTTCAGGAGTAAGAAAATTCGGACTTGGTGTTGGGAATTGGGTTCGCAGTTGTCGGAGCGAATGTTTTGAGGGACAGAACGACTGTTGGCATTGAGTTCCGAAGCACACAATTACCTTTTTCGAATTCCTTTGAACAAGTGGACCCTATTGAAAGATCAAGGACGCAGATGGGGCACATTGACAACGAATATGTCGGAGAGTTAAACAACGTCTTGAAAGGGGTTAGGTTCCTGCCGTGCAGAGCTTTGGTAGACGCCACATTTCATAAAACTTTGGATTTGTTTCAACAGGAACAAAACAAGTCCACGAGATGCGGGAGTCCTATTGTTAGGGAGCACTTTAATGCATATTTGCAATTGGAGATGACAGCCGCCACTCATAATGTGAGAGTTAGGGACGCCGACAGCTCCATATACGAAGTGGAAACCGGTTTACGGGCTAGTGGAAGAGGGCAAAACAAGTAAGTATATATATTTTTTTTCTTTGTCCATTCAATTTTTTCATATTGTATATATATAAATCACTGAGGAATTATTACAGGTATAAGGTAGATTACAACCGAGCACGTTGTAGTTGTCGGAAGTGGCAAACGCATAGGAAACCATGCTCTCATGCGATAACAGTACGTCGTTCAGTTGGGACTAACCCAAAACTGTTGTACAGTGAGTATTTTTGGACGGAGAACTGGGTAGCTCAATTTAGCAATTGGAGTTTTTCTCCGATTGGTAATCCAGATACATGGGCGCCGGTCGAGTGGAAATTGATACCACACTGGGAGAGAATGATCTTTAAGCCTGGACCCGGTCGCGTGCAAACGAGACGATATCGCATGCAAATGGATCGTCGGGCACGCCGCAGGAGGGATAGGGGACAGTGCACTAGATGCGGTGATGCAAATCATGTTGTGGATGAGTGTCCGTCTTCACATCCTCGCACCGACAGGTCTAGACTTCGTGATGAGTGGGGAAATTAGATTTGTTAGTGTTTATTCGGATTTGTT